ACAAACCTTGATTACCAGTAAACACCAAATTGGTGCCGGAAAATTCAAGTTTAAGGAAGATTTTGATAGTTTTTAAAATTTAAGGATCAACTTGGCCCAAAACTTAAAGTTCAGAGACCCAATCATGATTATAAAACCAACTCTAATCTTTGATTGGATTTTAGTGGGGCTACTCTACTATAGTTAGATCTCGGCTTAACCCCTTGTGCCCCCTCCAACTTGTCATCATTGAGGGTTTTAGCCACTCAACAAACAATATCTACTATTTAACCCTTAAACTTATTGTTTTTGAGGGTTTTAGCCCAAAATTGATGATAATTAGTCATGTTTGTCCCTAGGCCGTTGACTTATGCCTTCTCAGCGCCTTGTCATTGGCACATAGGAGGAAAAATGGTCCAAGTTAGACCAATAAAAGTGGAAAAACTTGACTTGGCACTTTTGAATTTACTGTCTTTAACGGTTTTAGCCCTTTAATATGAGAATTTTGACCATTGATTTGCACATCTTCTATATCATAAACTCAAAATTAATAACTAGAGTAATGTAAATAATATGTCCACTCATTTCTTCATTAAGTTATATTTTTTCAATTCCATGTAAGTAAAAAAGTGATACTATGACATATGGATGTGGATCCCAATTAATTTTAATTTGAAAAATAAAATTAATTTTTATTTATTCTACCTCTCTCCTCCACCTTTTCAAATCTCTCTCCTTATGCCAAACCTACTCCTTTGGACATGGTTGTTGGGTTCTCATCACCTACATCTTCTTAGTGATAATGGTATTGTTAGCCTTAAATACCATTTCCATCATAGATAAAACAAAACCCACAAATATTAACACCTGCTAAGTAAAAATTGGAAGCTTTGAAGGACACCTATGGTTCAATGCAAAATTCTACACTAATTAGATATAGGGTTCTCTTATGGAAAAGGAAAGGGTAGAGGAGGGTATAAGAAGAAGAAAAAGTTGGAGAAGGAAGCAAGAAAAAGGTGAAAGAAGTAAAAATTAATTTTATTTCTAAAATTGTAATAGATGCAAGGCTTACATGACATATGATCATTTTTATGCTAAAATGATATTGACAAAGTGTGACTTAATAGAGAAATAAATGGTTATGTTACTTACATTACTTTTGCTATTAATTTTTGGGTTTATTATCTAGAAAACATGTAGTTTAGGGGCTAAAATTCTCATTTTATATGTTGAAAGGCTAAACACCTCAAAGGCAACAAGTTTGAGGGATTTAAGTCAAATTCTTTCACCTCTATTGGTCCAACTTGGTCCATTTTTCCCTTCACGTGGCAAGGACATGGAATTGAGTAGGTGTGGGTTAATGGGTTAGGGATGGACAAGACTAACTGTAGTCAATTTTGGGCCACAACCCTAAAAAACAACAAGTTCAAGGGCTAAATAACAGACAGTGTTTTTTTGAGGGGCTAAAACCCTCAATCACGATAAGTTGGAGGGGGCACAGTGGGTTCAGCCTTAGATCTCTACCCTTTGTGTCAGAGTTGAAGTCTTTTGAGTTTGAAGGGTACAAATGTAATTACAGTTGCTTTTAGCTAACAATAAGTCATAACCCTACCCCATCCTTTTCTTAGTTTTCCTCTGTTCCCCTCGAAGAGGCTAAAACAAATCCAGAGTTCCTTTCTACTTTCTTCACCCAACTCCAAAGGTTTTGCCAACATATAATTTTTCTTTCTCCTGTTCTTTGAGGAATCGTTGTTTATAGAATCCAACTTCTCTTGGGTTATGCTTTGTGTTTTTTATGGGACTCTATTCAAGCCATTCCTTGTCTTCAGATCTGGCTACTCACACTCATCCGGTGGGTCTCGGCACACCATTAATGGTAATGTTGATGGATAACAAAGCACTCATCCTCAATTTCTAAGGTCTTGGATCGAGCGTTGTTGCTCAACATATCGCTGCTTTGGAAATTTGAGTTGTAGCAAGCTTTCAGTGGCACATCGGATCGGATCGGATCATATACTGCTCAACCACCAACTTTTGTTTCAATGAATTGGGTAAGATAAGCATTACTTTGTAGTTTTATGTTGTCTATTCATTGCAAATATATAGACTAAGAGTAGTCAGTCGTCAAACATCAATAACTATGGTCTTAAAACTTAAATCATTTGTATCCAAGTTTAACAGGCATGGAAATTCCTTGGGGTTCCTATTCCGCCCATTCATTTGAAATACATAGGCTAAGAGTAGTAGTTAGACTATGGTCTTAAAACATCTTTATCTAAGCTTAGCAATCATGGAAATTGGGGTTCCACCCCTTCCAATTTCACTCATTTGTTTTTGCTTGTGTTGTGAATTTTGACATTTTTCGAGCCAAAGTGCCCATTAGTATGAGCATTGAGTGCTGCAGTTGATGCAAAATTAGTCTCCTTGCATGTCTTACACAAGTAAGTTTGCTTAGCATCCCTTGTTTTAACTTGTTTCTTCTTTTCCTTTGCATCTTGTTTCTTGTTTTTCCCTTCCTGGTTGTGATTTCCTTGAGCCATACCTGCAACAGACACCACGAAACACATCACAATTCCTCCAACATAACAATACCTTCAACAAATGCAACAAATGTAGAGGGGAAACAACCAATATATAGGTGAGACATTAGAAAGCAAATTTTGGTAAAAATCCTACCTACTCTTTTCACCACTTTAAAAATTTCCTATAGAATCTTCAGAGAATAACTTGAGTAGAAACTGTTGAATTTTTTTGGTGGAAAAAGGTAGAGAGAGGACTTGGAGGAG